CCTCCCCAATTGTGTATATCCGGATGTCTCAAAGCACCACCATCACGAAAATATCCGTGACGTAAAGACAACACCTATTATTGTCCCAGGCAGACCGGGCAAAAAAAAAAACAACCAAAAAAAACTTGTCCCTGGCGCCGGCCCAACGGTCGCGCGTAGTTTCCATACGAGAGCGTAGCCCGCAGCCAATCACAAGCGACCCCAGCCTCTTCCATTGATTCGTTTTTCTTCGGCTTTGACCTTGCTACCTGCCGCGCGGTTGTAAGCTCCCAACTGGAAATTTTACGCTAAACCCTTCCACCCCTACGGCACATGGGATCGCCCGCCCTCTATAAAGAGAACCTATTTCCCACCGTGACAGTAGTACTTCTTTGACCTACCTCCGAAGCCGGGAGGAGAAAGATAAAGTTGTGAAACCAATAGAAATCATACATCGGTAATATTCATTACTTGTTCACATCAATTAACTTCTAGCGGAGTGTTCGACAGTGGTGTTCGCTAAGACAAGCCGGGAAATAATACGATGGTTTTCTTCAAACCTAACGAGGTACGTTGTCACACTCACTGCACTCGCTGACTCCTTTCTTGAGACTCAGGTGTAAACAAACCCCACGTGTTTGCTTCACACACACACACACACACACACACACATGACACACACACGCACACACACGCGCACGCTCCCACACACACACCCACACACCGGCTTCACACATCCACACTCACACACACCGGGGGGATTCTGGGTCAGGACAGTCACATTTTGGGGGGTCAAGTCTCGGGTCATCCCGATCTCTGGCCAGACTGACTAGGGCATTGTGACGCCCACTTGACTTTTGGCTCTACATAATTATTCGGTCTCATGTCTGTCGCTTGGTCATATAGATCTTGGCTTATATCTTGTCTTGAATATTATTTGGCTCGGGGTTGTGTTTTCTATGAATAATTTATTTTTCTGACTGGGCGTGAGTTTCTTGTCTCTTCAAAAAGCCTGAGTGGAGTCTTCAGCTTCTGTGAAAGTAGAAGCTAGTGTAGTGTAGTATCTAGACTATAGCATAGCATAGTATAGTAGGCCTATAGATCTAGTAGGGCCTGTAGTATATTAGGTATTATGGTATGGTATAGTATAGTATAATAAAGTGTAGTAAAGTATAGTATATCTAGTAGTATAGTATAATATTATACCATACTATACTAGATCTATTATAGTATAGTATAGTATTATCATAGTGCATAGCATGGCATAGTATAATAAATATAATAGAGTAGTTGGCTGTAGTATAGTCTAGTACATACATTATATAGATCTAGTATAGTAGGCCTATAGTATAGTATAGTATAGATCACCTAGTATAGATCTAGTATAGTATAGTATAGTATAGTAGTATAGTATAGTATAGTATAGTATAGTATAGTATAGTATAGTATAGTATAGATCACCTAGTATAGTATAGTATAAGCATAAAAGTATAATATAGTATAGTAACATAATAGTATAGCACAGTATAGCCTAGCCTAGCCTAGATCTAGATTTAGAACAGTTCAGTACTGTACAGTACAGAACACATCTGTTGTACCACAGTATTCACGTAGCACAAGGACTGACCATCCCATTGACCTCTGTCCATCTGCTACGCTTACAGTCTCAACATCAACCGGAAATGTCTTGTGATTTTTCTCTCCCACTCACAGCCGTGAGCTCCTCACAAACTACACTTTGCGCTATCATACATCATGTAGATCTATATCCTGGGTACTTTCATGACTTTGGCTAGTTATAAGTAAGCATTTTCCATACATAGGGCCTATTGATTGTGATAGAGGAAACCAGATATGTCTGGATTCCTACCTTTATGTAATAATTATTATCTTGTTGAAACGATTTAATCCTACGTACTCCCCCCCCCC